CGAGGCTTGTGTTCCTTCGCACAAACGTACTTGAAGTGGCTTTTCCCGACCTCTGGCATTTTTAACAATAAGTGCCGCTACAAACGCGAAATAAAAATTAAATAATTGGCGTTCAGATCGATTCCGCATTCAGATTGTAGAAATTGTATCAACTGTGTGTACATCTAATTTCGTGGTATTTTTAGGTGCAATTTTATTATTAAAATGTGGGGAGATTCCAAACGAGAAAAGAATATGGCCTCGTAAGACAAATTAAAAAAACGGGAAAACAAATAGTATTTCTTCCGGTGTATTAGAAAATAGATAAATCGTAAAAAAAAACTTTCAATAGGTATTCGATTCTATAAAAATGCCGTCTGGACTATGAACAATACCTGGCAAATAGGTATAATAAATTTGCCTATCTTTGAAATAATTTCGAATAAAATGACTCAAGAAAACTTTTCTTATGTGAACCATAATTCCTTCTCAAAATATTTAAGAATATTGTTAAACAATACTATACATATAATATAATCCGCACGATTTTTTCTACTGGCAACAATCATTTTCCTCGACTTAAATTTTGTGTAAGACAATAGTTATGCTCAACAGCAAATTCATTACCCAGAACTAAAACATATTTACAAACATGGCGCTTACATTTTTCACTATAAAAAGTATTAAACAATATTTTTTATAATCTAAAAAAAGTTTGAATGTGAATCTTTTCCATGCGTAACATATTCTTATTTCTTTGAAATGTATGCAAAAATATTTTTAGCGTACTGTAAAATGATTGTCTTTCGTCTAAAGAATGTAACGAGCGTTCAAATAAAAACGTGGTCAAGTTGGTTCTGAAAATTTGGACGTAGGGCGTAGCGTATAGCAAATGAACTTAAACGTCATCTGTCAAAGCGCTATATCGCCGCTATCAATTTGAATATTTTCGTTTTAAAAAGCGTTTAAAATGGTGTTTTCTCAAGAACAAAAAGTGTTTATCATAGAGTCCTACTTTAGAAATGGACGCAAGATTGATGGAATATGGAAGTATTCTATTGAGGAATGTTTCATAGAATTTCAAAATCAATTTCCCGGCGTTGTTGAGTACAAAATTTTTCAAAGTGCAGTTCAGCGTTGTGTTAATGTTTTTCGTGAAACGGGCAGTGTAACAAGAAAAGAAGGAAGCGGCCGACCTAAAAAGCGGACTGAAGAATTAAAAGAAAATGTCCAACAAATAATGGAAAATGCGCCAAGAACTTCTGTACGTGTTTTATCACAAATGGTGGGAGTATCAGTCGGTACCTGCCACACAGTG